TCTGGAGGTTGTATTATTCCTGCTCCCTGCAGCATCTCTGAAATCAGAAACTCCTAAGTTGTTACAGGTGGCAGGAACTGTGGAGATGATTCAATTCCAACCTCTCGTTTATGGAAGCAGGAACTGAGGCCAAAGTAAAGGCCTTATCTGGGGTCACTCAGCTGGCAGAGGCAGGCAGGACCAGAAGCAGGCCTTCTGCACCCCACTTCCGTGCTCCTTCGAATCCCTCCTGACTCTCTGACTTTGGAAAATGTGGATCATCAGGTTGTACCCTGGTTGTAAGAGTCAGTCTCCCTGCAAAGACTATGAGCTGCTGGAGGGCAGGACTGTGTTTTGTCCACTGTCTTATTGCCAAGCGGTAGCATGATGCCTGCCACACACTAGACTGTCAGAGCATAGCAGAAGAACAGAACCACAGGGGGTGCAGTTCTTCCTCATGAAGACTCCTGAAATTCAGTGAACTCTACTACATTCATCCCTGAAGACGATTCCTTACTTCTCATTGTAGGAAAAGGAAATAATGTCAAGAATGTCAGAAGTTTAAAGGCTATTAAATATTCGGTCAGGCTGGGTCACATCTGCAATTGCTTTAAGTCAGGCCAGCTGTGGAATGGGTGGGAGCAGACTTTATGGCAACAACAAAAAGAGAAACATGTGCTCTGCTGGGGAAAAATACACCACGGCCTCTGACGTCACCCTCTGCATGCAACTCTGGTGGTTTCCAGCTCCTTCTGTTCTTCCCCACTCTGAAAAGAGGCCCTGTGATTTCTCTTGGAGTCCTACCTCCCCTTTCTCAATGGGACATGACGCTGATGTCCTCCGTGTGTGGTCCCAGGGTCCTACCATCAAGCTCTGGAAGAGAACCTCTCACTAGCACCTACCATACAGCAAAGCACCACATCACCAAATGCCCTGGGGAGGACCTGGTTTCTAACAATGAAGAATTTGGCACAGCCAGAAAACATTAATAGTTGATTTCAAACTATGAAGGATGTGTACGACAGACCTGATTCTGAAAGACATAAAATTAAACATACCCTTTCCATTCTGCTCTCTCCTCAGCCTGACCAAATACCATAGCCATTTCATCGGGTACGTATGCTCTAACCAAGATCTTTTCAGAATGTCCCCACAGAGAGTTTGCCAGTCCTCTAGGGGAGGTGAAAGTCAACACCCACACTTTAGTCATGTGTTGCATGACTCATGAAATCTACCACAAACCGCTCAGACCATCAGGTGCCAGAGAAATGCAAACAGCTGGAACTGGACCCTGGCCAGATAGAAGAGCAGGTAAAAGGATAACCAGAGGAATGGGAGCCTCTACCACTGGCCAAGCTCACCCGCCACTCCAGAGGCCATGCGAGGCTCAAGTCCAGGACAGTGCAAGGGGTAGAAGCCCAGCCTTGGGCCTTTCTGTTGGCCAGAAAGACAGCAGCAAGTAGGATGGGTACTCTGAAAAACAAACTGCTTTTCCTACTCTCACACATCACTCAAACAACACTTCTGATACCAGATTGGCAGGGAGGTTGGGGCAGGGGCTCCCCACACATCAAGCAGTTCTGCATGGACACCAGATGTGCTCTAATTCAATTCAATCCTGACACTATCTACCAGGAGACAATGTCAGATCCCACTGATTAAAGGCTCAGTCCCATAAGACTGCCATCCCACCCCCTACCCCGAGACACCAATAGGTTGTCATCTATACTTCTGACCAGCCACCTGTAAACTGGGGTTCTCACAGAACTCAGGGAAACACTTCAGTTGCATTTACTGGTATATTAATAAAGGATACAGATGAACATCTAGATGAAGTAATACACAGGGCAAGGCATGTGAAAGGGGCATGGCGCTTCCATGCCCTCCCTGGGTGTACCATCCTCCAGGCACCTCCAAGTGTTCAGCAATCCAGAAGCTCTCCAAACCTAGTCCTTTGGGTTTTAATGGAAGCTTCATTGCATAGACATGATTGACTAAATCACTGGCCCTTGGTGATCAACATAATCTTCAGTCCCTCTCCCCTCCCACAATGTCAGGAGTGGGAGGAAAGTCCCAACACTCTAATCATGTGGTTGGTTCTCCTGGTAACCAGCCTCCACCCTGAGGCTACCCAGGAGCCCACCAAGAGCTGCCTCATTAGAACCGAAGATGCTCCTATCACCAAGGAAACTCCAAAGGTCTTAGGAATCCTGTGTCAGGAACCAGGATCAAAGCTCAAATATAACAAAAGATTCTTTTAGCACCCCTATCTACTAGGGTTTTAGCAGCTTTATGTCAGAAACTGGGGACAGAGACTGATACATATAGTTCTTGCTATAGCCCAGTATCGCAAGTACCACCCTCAACATGGCTTCAATCAACTGGACTTTGCTCCAAATACCTTGCAGTGTCACATTTCTATGTTTATTTCTTTGAAATCTTGACTGAAGGGAGGGGCAGAAGTAGGGAATCACCAAGGGTCACAACTTTTTGGAGTGATGGACATGTTCAATATCTTGATGGTGGTGATGGTTTTACAGGTGTACATGTGTCAAAACTTATCAGAGTATACACTTTTAATCTGTACAGTTTGTTGTATGTTAATTGTATCTCCATCAAGCTTTCAAAAAAATTCCACTGAATTTGAATAGTTATCGTTTATAGTATTCTAGCAATCTCTCGTTTTTAAAAGACTTGAGTTTCAAATGATCATTCATAAGTTGTATACTTCATTTCATGACATGTTTTCTTATAGGAACCAGTTTAACTCAGAATCAAGCTATAGCACTCGTTCCCACAGTCTCTCAGGGCATCCATCCCAGATTCCAAATGCAGCTCCAGCCTGGAAAGATTGTTTTAGAGAAAAGTCATCCCTGGTCCCAACTCCTCAGAAGGAGAACGTTCCCCATCCTCCCCTGACCTCTGTCTACCCCACAGAGAATGTTTCCCCTTCTCACCCCAAGCCTCTCCCCCACCCCCACCCTCCCAGTCCCTGGATTTCCATTAAGAAAATTAATACATACGTAATGAACCCTGCTCAGGGCCAATGCCCCATATCTCGGAGAACAAACAACACTATGCTTTTATATTTGCAGCAGTCCCCACCACGGGCATGGACAGACAGAAGCACTGGGCCACAAAAAAACACCAGCTGAGCAGAGGGCGTCCCGGCCAGCTTGACAGCACTGCACATCACCATGTTCTCCTTTATCAACGCCATGCAAGCACAGAGCTGGTCCTTCACCGGAAAATGCTCTTGGGGGAGCCCCGGAGGCCTGTCAGCTGCCAGGGGGTTCTGAACTTGGGAGATGACTTCCTCCCCAGAAGCCCAGAAGAATGTCCTCACACCACCCCAAGAGCCCAAGATGAGGCTGCTCTTCAGACATTTCTTCCCCAAAGGCCCTGACTCAGCAGGAGGCGAGCTGTGGTCCCTCCACCTGTGAGAGCAGGCCCAGCACCATCCCCCCTCTGTCCCGTGGGGTCTCCAGGCTCTGGCATCCTCAGAGGGAAGGGGGGAGCCGCACTGGGCAGGGGCTCCAGCTCTTGCCTCTATTCCTTTAGCTCAGTGTCCACAGTGGGAGACCCGCAGGTGCACAGTGAGGAACAGGCCTTGGAAAGAAGGTGACCTTGGGGTGGGCCGGCCCCTCCCTCCCACGCATGCTTTCTTAAACGCTCCCGGGTATGCTACATTTCAGCAGATCTCTGTGCCCGCATAACCGAGCATACATGTTCTCCCTCTTCCCGAAACGCAAACCAAATCACTGTGGAAATCTGAAAACCACTAAAGTATAAGTTAGTTTGGAAACCCTGTCTCATGGGGCTATGGGTTCTGAGATGGCCATTAGGTCTGGTGAGGATTTAAAGGCCAGAGATCAGAAAAGAGGATGTTGGTATGTGTTGAGTGGGACAGGAGGGAAGACAGAAGTCTTTAGTTTCTCTGCACAGGAAGTTCCAGGAGTGAGGGGGTATCAGAATCCGTGAGAGGAAGAGGACCCCTAAATTACAACAGAGGATGGGGGCAGCGGGGGTGGGGGAGGAAGGGAGGGACAACTAGCCAAAAATCCTCACTGCTGCCCAGAATTCGCTGCCTTTAAGACGCCAAGGCTCTGGGAGACTAAGTACAGGGCAGGCCACACCCCAACCTCTGTCCCCCAGGGGCAAAGGCATTCATTACCAGGTGGCTCTTCGTCTAGCTGAGCGGTACTTTGTACTGAAAACAGGGCCACATCAGCAGGGGGACAAAGTCAACAGTAGACAAGGAAGGGTTCCAAATACTCATTAGTAAATCAGCCACTGTTGGGAAAGCAAGATGATTTTTCTCACAGATATGTGACACCATACTGGTTAGTTAGGTCCCCGCGTTAGCCTACAAAAGACTATTTTACATAAGTTTAAGACTCATAGTGTTACGTAAACCATACAGTCTACGTATGACTTTGTTTGAACAGGAAGAGGCACTCTGAATTCCAGTTTGGGAATCTTGATCCTTGGGGGGTGGGGGTGTGTGGAAGCCACAACCACACTGGGGCCAGCAGGAACGGGATGGCGGGGGGCACGCACTTCCTAGCACGAGACACTGCCTGCCGTCTTCCCGAGAGAAGGTAGGCCTGAGTCAAGTACTTCTTGGGTGTCGTGAACTGAGGGAAAGGAGGACAGGAAGGAGAAAGCTTTGGGAAGTGATTCCTTGGGCGATTGGCTTGGGATGTGGAAGTGACTCCTCCACTGCGTCTATGCGCACTTGCACTTACTATGTCAGAGCCAAGTTCACAGGCTGAGTTACAGCAGCATGGAATTTAACAGGCCCACTCAGGGACTTGACTACAATCAGATCCTAAGTAAGCAAGCAAAATGCCAATTGTGTTCTCCTCGGATTCTTCCCGCCCATGTTCGTCTGCGGCTCTCCACTGAGCCCCATGAACTTGAGGAATCCCAGTGTCCCGGCCACAGTGAGCGAGGTGGCGTGTACACTTCTCAGTCCTTCTAGCACACGGCTGGGCTAGCTGATGCCCTGCTCGCCTCACACAGGGACCACGGCAGCAGCATCCGCCCCGGCACTTGGGTGGGTGGAGAGCACCAGCACCCCCACACGAGGCATCAGACCTGGTGCGTCAGGGCCACCTGCCTGAGTGTGACTCAACATTCAGCTGATGATGAGAAAGCCAAGATCGCAGAGGCCAGGGGGAGAGGGACATACCAAGCAGGGTGGCTTTCTCCACCCCGACCCTGAGTGAAGAAGGCAGGCATCAAACTCCAGGGGACAGGGGAGCAGAGCCGCATACGCCAGCAGGTGCGCTGCCCACCTGGACCCATTCAGCACCCAGGGCCTCAGTGGGAATAGGATTGAGGTGGTCGTGGGGAAAAAGTCAGTGACTTACACTGTATGCATTGATAATCAGTTGAATAATATTTTTGGAGTCTCCATGTAAAATCTCCACTGTTGTTCCAGGTATCAGGGCTGTAAAATTCTTGAAAAAAAAAAAGAAAAGAAAGAAAAGAAATAAGCCCATTTTGCCCTTCCATACCGTCAAATAGTGAACACTGCTATCTGAGCTAGAATTGTAAGGGGCCCTGCCTGTGTCTGGCCACTCTCTTGCACTGTAAACTGAGAAGAGCTGGCGCGGGCGTGCAGAGTTGCAGTAGGCTGAGGAGTATCCAGCCCTGCAGATCTGAGAGCAAAGGGACTAACCAGATCTGTTCCTAAAGTATGATGCCTTGGAGACCCCTCTCCTCTGGCGTGTAAGGAATGGTCCCTCCTGAAAGGTCGACGTGTCCTTGAGGATTTTTT